GGCGCGGGCCGTCTGCAGGCCGTGACCCCGCGAGCGCTCGGAGCCGCGGCCGCTTCGCGGGCGGCGGGAGGGGGGCTGCTGGGGGAGGGCAGCCTCTCCGCCGCCATCACTGCCGGATGGCAAAGCGATGCGAGTCGGAGTCCTAGAGCCTTGGACCAGAGCCCACGGCGCTCCGGGGTCAGAGGGGCGACAAGCCTGGGACACAGCGACCCTGGCCCCTTGCTTGGGCGAGGCTTCTCCCAGGTCTGGGGCATGCAGGGCCTTTGGAGGCCGAGGGACATTAAAAACCTGATTCTACTAATCACCTAGACCTTGGGCAAGTCACTTCAGGTCTTGGCGTAGGTTCCCTTCTCTGTGAAATAGGGGTGTGCTGATATGATGCAGACTGTATGCCAGTCAGTTTTAAACACTTTACTTATGTTAACTCATTTAATTCCACAACAACCCCATGAGGTAGGTACTATTACTAATGAGGCCCAATGTCACCAAGCTGGGAGAGCTAGAATTCAAACCCAAGCGGCCTGGCTCCCGAGTCCACTCTTAACCCCTGCACCATAGTAGTACTTAGAGAGTTGATGTGAAGGTTACATGAGATAATACATATAAAGCAGTTAGCTTAACACAGTGGTTCTTGAACTTCAGTGTGCATCAGAATCTGTTGGAGGGCTTGTTAAAACACAGATTGCTGGGGGGCTGGCCAGGTGGTGCAAGCCGTTAAGTGCGTGTGCTCCCAGGCGCGCATGGACGCACTGCTTGTCAAGCCATGCTGTGGCAGCCGCCCATATAAAGTGGAGGAAGATGGGCATGGATGTTAGCCCAGGGCCAGTCTTCCTTGGCAAAAAAAAAAAAAAAGAGGAGGATTGGCAGATGTTAGCTCAGGGCTCATCTCCTCACAAAAAAAAACCACAGATTGCTGGGCCCCATTCTTAGAAGTTGATTCAGTAATCTGGGGCAGAGAAGAATGCTGCATCTTTAAGAAGTTTCTAGGTGACAGTGACACTTATTTGAAGTAGGTAGCCATGGAACAGTTTTAAGCAGGAGAGCAACATAATCTGATTTAAAAGAACTTTTACCTTTTTGTGGAGAATGTACTAATAGGAAACAGGACGCCAGAAGACCAGTTAGATTTTTCTGAGCTCTCCGTAGTCCATCTGTTTTCTAAATGGTGGGATGGTATCCCCCAAAATGTTAACAGTACTTGTCTTAGGAGTTGAGGCAATAGGTGATTTTCCCTAATGACTATGTATTAGAACAGAAGAAAACTCAATACATTTTGTTATCATTTGAAAAAGATGTCCCTCAGTGTTCCTCCCTGACTCTCGTCTCTCCTCAAACTCAGTCTCCCTGAAGATCTCATCCCCTCTCCTGACCTCGGTTACCTTCTTGATTCCTAGACTCATATCTGCAGTCCTAACCTTTCTCCTGAGCTCCAGGCTGACCTGTGTCCAACTGCCTGCTGGACATCTTCACAGGCCCCTCCAACTCAACACGACTCCTGCTGGAATCATCTCTTCCCACTCCTGGACCTCTTCTTGGGCTCCCTTCCTTGGTGAATGGCCTCAGGCCAAACAGCTGGGAGTCACCCTTGATTCCTCTTCTCTGTTCAGCAACCAGTCCACGTCTGTGTGCTCATCACTTTATTCTCTGCACCACACACAATGGCTAGCACATAGTAGGCTCTCCATAATACTTATTGAAATCTGTCATTTTTTGAACAAATATTTATTGAATGCCACTATAAATAAATGAGTGTAATTAGTCACCAAATCCTGTCAATATTACCCCCTAAAGAGTCCTTCATTCTGGTGTCATTCTTCTCCAACCTCACAACCAGCCCCTGGTGCAGTCCTTTTCGTTTTCTTGCCTTCCAACTGCTCTCCCTGACTCCAGATTTTTACTCCTCCAATCCTTTCTTCTTGCAAAATCCAGAGTAATTTTTCAAAAAAGGAAATCTGTTTTGTCAATCTCTGATTTAAAACCCTTTCATGAATCAAGAGATGTTAAGGAGAAATATATTACTTAAAATTACGAAGGTAACCATTGAATGAACTAAAAATAATGATAGAAATAAATAGGGCCAATGGAAGAAGGGAAGTAAGGAGTGTAAGTAAGGTAAGTTGTATTTATCATAATAGGAAGTCAGTAGACAATTTTTAAAATGAAGAACTAGTGATACAGTATAAACCTATGTGGTGTTATAGGTATAAACACCAGAAAAAAATAGCTAAAAGTGGTTGCCTCTGGGGAGTGGGACTAGAGGTGGGAAAGGATAGGGCAGGGGTAACTATCTTTTCATTGTAAATCCTTCCGTAACCATGGGCTGGAATTACTTGGATTAAAATCCAAAACCAAGCCAAACCATAAAAAGTTTTTCATGGCTCCTCATTACCTGTGGAATAAAATCTAAGCACCTTAGAACCATTTTCCATTACCTTGTTGCTCAAAGTGTGTTCCCTGGAGCAGCAGCATGGCCATTGCCTGAGAGCTTGTTAAAAATGCAGAAGTCCACGCCCCACCCCAGATTTACAGAACAGTAATCTGCATATTAACAGGATTCTCAGATAATTCATATGCACAGTCAAGCTTAAGAAGCATCAGTATCAAGATCAAGTATGATCTGGCCCTTGTGGACCTCTTCAGCTTCAATACTGGTTGCTCCTCATTGGCCAGAAGAACTTTCCTTTCCACTCCTTTAGTCTAAATTCAGTGGCCAGGGGCCGGCCCGTGGCTTGGCGGTTAAGTGCGTGGGCTCCACTACTGGCAGCCCGGGGTTCAGATCCCGGGCGCGCAGCCACGCACTGCTTCTCCAGCTGAGGCCGCGCCCCACATACAGCAACTAGAAGGATGTACAACTATGACATACAGCTATCTACTGGGGCTTTGGGGAAAAAAAAAAGGAGGAGGATTGGCAATAGATGTTAGCTCAGAGCCGGTCTTCCTCAACAAAAAGAGGAGGATTAGCATGGATGTTAGCTCAGGGCTGATCTTCCTCCCCCAAAAAATAAATAAATAAATAATAAATAAATAAATTCAGCGGCCACACTGTGGGTGTATGCGTGTGTGTCAGTGACTAGCTAAATTCTAATCACTGTTTTAGACCCAGCTCATCTACTCCAGGAAGCCTTCCGAAACCCTCTGCAGCTCTTTTATCACTGTTCCTTAAATTCCCATATCTCTAACTGAGGATGCTTAGCGTTCATTCAGCAAACATTTATTGGGCGCCTGCTGTGTGCCTGGCTGGATTCAGTGCCAGGGTAGGGAGAAGGCGTTCAGCTCTCCGAGGGCTCCTTCAAGTCCAAACCCAGAATCGCCCAGCCGCACGCATTCCAGGGCCAGAGGCAGCGTGCGCAGCACTCGAATATACATATGTACACACGCAAACAGTGTCCTGCGCGGCTTTTCTGAGCGTTACGGCGCCCTCCTCCCGCCCCCACGCGGCGCGGGCGGGGACCCACCGGTTCCGCTCCGCATTAGCAGCGGAGAAAGGAGGACCCCCGGGAGCGGGATCCCGGCGTCTGGCCGCCCAGCCCTGTTCAGGCTTAGGCCCGCATGGAGGGGACTGCGGAGTCCCAGACGCCTGACCTGCGAGACGTGGAGGGCAAGGTGGGCAGAAAGACCCCTGAAGGGCTGCTCCGCGGGCTGCAGCGAGGCGAGTGGGAACCGGGAACCTCTGGCGCCCTGATGCTCCCGGGGGCGCCGAGGACGGGCCACAGCCTGGGGGACAAGATCGTGGCGCTGAGGATGGAGCTGGTGAGTGTGGGCTCCACCTGCCAGAGGGACGGAGCCCCCCCACATAGGACCGGAAGGGACGGACTCACGCCCCCAGAGTTGGGCTGGAGAGGAGAGAGTTAAAATTCCCCACCTGACTCCTCAGGATCCCTCCCAGATCAATCCTTACACCCTGGGGTCCATTAATTACAGACCCCCCGCACCCCCACTCCCACCCCTCACCCCTACCCCAAGGATGAGTGGGGTATTGATGGGTCCTGAGGACCTGGGGTGGGAGGCACAGGTTTTTGGAAGTTTTTTCTGCCAAATAATTGGGAGGAGAGAGGTGAGAACTGGGATGCCCTGAGAACCTAGCACAGCACAAATCTCCCCCCTACCCCTCACTACCGGGCTGCCTATCCCCCAGCCACCATTACAGGGCAACCAGTTTTTTCTCCTCCTGCAAATTGGGCCCAGGGTTTGTTCCTCTGAGGCCCCGGTATTCACACAGGATTCAGCACAGAAGGGATTTGGGTGAAAACTGCCTGGACTGGGGCCACCAAAAACATCCTCTCTCCCCAACATCCCCCCACACCCACTTAAAGTATTTGAAAGTTCCTGGAACCTTAGCAGACAGAGCAGCAGCACCATCAGTGTTGGCCGGGTCACTGACTCAGTCTCTTCCCCCCAGCTCCCCAGGTACGCTGGATATTTGGATCTCGTCTGTACCTCCTTGGGGAGAAGAGGAGGAAACAGGCACCCTCCCCCTTCCCTGTTGCTGCTGGTCTAGATTCAGAGCCAAAAGGGCACTTGGGGCCCCCCCAGGCTCCCTAGGGCCCTGGTTCCGGTGAAGGGGCTGATTTACATCTGCCACCACTTTGCAGCCGGTTCTGGGGAACTGAGGAATTGCCAGCCACTTTCTGGCCCAGAACCAGGAGCCCACAGTGAGTGTGTCAGCCAATAGATCTTCCTGGAGCCCCACTGTGTGCCCAGCTCTGTGCCAGGCTGAGCTGTGAGGGAGCAGCAGGGGTGGGGGGGGGGAGGTCATGGGGTCCCAGACAGCTTGAGAGGCTGGAGAGAGCCTTGTGGGCAGAGCAATCAGGGAAGGTTCCTTGGGGGAAGGATTTGAATGCCATGTGTGCACTTGGCCTTGAAGGTTGGAGATAAGTGCCAAATTCTCCAGAGCGGGGCTGTGACTGTGTCCACCCAGGGAGGGGCCTGGCTTTGCCTCATTGTACTTTTAGCTGAAGGCCTAGAAAGAGCCTATCTAGAGTGTCTTGCTTTGGAAACTAAGTTTTACCAAGTGCATGTGCCAGGCATCATGCTGAGCACTTGACAAGATGTTCTTTTAATCCTCACAGCAACCTATTGGGTAAGTGATACTTTATAGATGAAGAAACTGAGGCACAGAGAGGATGGTAACTGCCCAAGGTCATATAAAAAGTAAAAAGCAGAGCTAGGCTTTGCACCCAGATGATCTGCCTACACTTTGCATCTTTCCCATTGAGACCTGCTTTGTACCAGACACTTAAAACACATTTTATGTCATTGAAGTGAGAAAAGCAGTCCTCATATTCCCCGTCTCACAGATGGAACATGCTGGCGGGTGTTAAGGGGCTTGCTTGAGTTCCCACAGGCAGCCAGTGGAGGAGCTGGGCCTGGGCTCTAACTCTTTCCTGCCTTTGGTGGAGATCACCTTTGTAAATTTTAACCTGGTACGTTTAACTTCTGATTAGATCTCTCTGCATTCTTGACCCAGCCTGGCCTGGGGCCCTGATTAGGTCTCTCCGCATTCTTAACTCAGCCTGGCCTGGAGCCCTGAGCTGTCCATGAAGGGCATGAGGGAGAGAGCCTTCTAGGGGCTAGAACAGGGTCGGGCTTCTTATGTGCCCCAAGGATCCCTGCCCCATTCCTATCTCCCTCCTTGGGCCAGGATGTCATTGATCTCTTTTTGGGCTCTGCCCTGCCCACTGGGTTGCTCCTGGGGAGGACAAGGGGTGGGCCAGGAGGTTTCCCTTGGAGCCGCTTGTGGCAGAACCGGCCCAAGCCCTCTAAGTCCTGTCCTTCAGCTGTCCCTCTCCTGCAGGGAGGGGGCAGGCCTGCCCTTGAGGCCAAGGTCATCCCTGCCTCTAACCTCTTCCCTGCTGCTTCCCTCCCCTACTCAAAGGTCTAGTGAACCAGCCAGACTCTGAAATATATGGGGAGTGGAAACAATGGCAACCTCTGGCTACTTAAGCCTCCCACCCAAAAACTGCTGCTATGACAGCCAGCCCCCACAGAGCAGTTTGAGGAAAGAAAAGCTTTAGGCAAGGAGGGGGAAGGCTTGGGTTCAAGTCCTGGCTCTGCTCCTGAATCATTTTGTGATCTTGAGCAGGGCCCTCACTCTCCTGGCCTCAGTTTTGGGGCTTCTTGGGGGATGCGGGTCAGGGGATTGTGGGGCCAGATGGTCTCTAAAAGCCTTCCTAGTAACAATAGTCTGGGCATCTCAATCCAAGACCAGGGAACTAGGGCTGGGAGGATCTCTGGGCTTTTACCTCAGGGCCTGATTTGGATTGAGTGATGTGGGAGCCATGCTTGTGACCTCAGGGCTGGGCAGAGAGTCTGATGTGGACATGTTAAGGGGAGGAGTGAGCAACCTGAATCCCCCTGGGAAGAGAATTGGGTTGGAGTGGCCTCTGAGGCTGCATCTCTCCTGAGCTGTTTATCCCGTTTCCAAAGAGATGGTGTGAAATGAGTGTTTCTTTTTCTGGCAAGAAAGCTTTGCTTGCTTCTATTCTGGGGAGTGATGCTGTCACAGTCAGGGAATCCCACTGTCACAGGACTATAGAATCTAGTCCTCAGATTTGTTCCCACCAACATGGTAAAACCCAACCCCTGAACCCTGGAACCAGCAGAGGGCCCAAAGATAGTAAAGGCAGGAGCATCCCAGAGCTGAATCCGACCTGCCCAGTCCTAGGCTCAACACCATAAGTGAACTGGGCAGGACTTGCTCTCGGGGAGCTCACAGTCTAGGTTCAGGAAGGAGGGATAACAACTAATAACTCTAGTACGGGATGATAAGTGCTGCTGGAACCCAGGGAGGGCTTCCTGGAACAATCTTCATTATAGAGTGACATGGTCAGATTTGGGCTCTGGAAAGGCCATTTTGAATTGGAGGAGACACATTCTGTTTCTTCTGGTTGGAATGCCTCTCCCCACCACTTTGTCTGGCTAAGTCCTACTTAACCTTCAAGTCTCCACTCATGTCCCTTATTCCAGGAAGCATTTCCTTACTGCCCTCGTTGAATTTTGGCCCTCTAGGTATCCACAGTCCTCTGTGCTGCAATTGTTTCCCCTTCATTTGCTGTGTTGTACTTTAAGTGCTTGGGTCATTGTCTTATCTTACCCACTAGACTGTGAACTCTGAGGGCAAGAAATGGTGTCTTTTCTTCTTTTATCTAACAGAATGCTATGCCTATAAGAAACGCTCAATATTGTTCCATGACTGAATGGATTAATTCCATCTTGAGGAAGGGCAGGGAAGACTTCCTAGAGGAGGTGACATTTGATTTGGGCCTTGAAGAATGAATAAAGTCAGTGGGAATTCCAGTTCAAGATGGCAGGTTGAACACATGCATTTACCTTCATTCCCTCCTGAAACTCCACTAAAAAACCAGTAGGAGGATTATTTTAAAAGCCATGAAGCCATTATGACAACAAGAACGGGGAGAAGATGATAGGAACAAAGTTTTGGAAGCTGAACAGAAGAAGGAAGAGTGGTAATTAATTTAGGAGACCTGAAAAAAGCTGAATTCCTAGCCAGTAGTGAGGAAACCTGAAAAGCAACCCATTTTGCACTACGGAAACCCTCAAAGTTCTCAGGAGTTGGAAGCACCACATATTTCTGGAATTGAGGGTGCCAGTGGAGCTGAAAACAAGAGGGTCGGTGAATATCTGTTTAAGAATCATACTCTGAGATCCCCTCCCTAACTGGGCGACCAGGTGCCAGCCACTCCTTTATCCCAGCAGAAGACTGGAGATGTACGTTTGGGAAAGAATAGAACAGAAGGAAGGGGGGAAGGGGCAGAGAGGAGGGGAAAGGGGAAAGCATAGCAGGAGAAGCATGGTTAGTGTGAGAAGTTTGTGTAATACATTTAGTTTGGTCAGGACTAGGACTGTTGGTTTCACTGTTAATATATTTGTCTCCAGTATGAAGTAGTTGAAGATAGTCTCTTTTATCATATGTCATTAATAGTCTGTATAGTCTGTGGTATTTCAGTTCTTTATGTCCACATCTCCTTATTGAAGCTGTAAGCTTCTGTTAAGCAGGGACAGTTTCTCCACTGTCTTTGTAATTATTAGAAAATCCAGGTACCCAATTATCATTTGTTTAATTGAATTAGAGTTGTGATATTCTTCCAAAAACATGAATAATTTCAGGTGCAAAATTTTGTTCTGTGCTTATGCCATAGTAAATAAGTTAACCATGGTAATATGGAAAGCCAAAGAGTACCGTTTATTGGTTGACTAATACCTAACATGCATAGCATACTGCCTGACAATATATTCCTTCCATTTCTTAAAGTAAGCCTTGAAATTAGATAGTATCCTCATTTTACAATGAAGAAATGAAGGTTTAAAGGGGGAAAAGAATCCAGTTTCATATGACTCATTAATGGCAAAACTGGAATTTGAATCCAGGTCTGTTTAATTCCAGTGCTATATTTTTCTCAGTGTAAAAATACTTGGTCTTATTCTGGTTTATCATTGTAGATGTGAGTAAAGCAGTTGTTTCCTGAATAATTCAATAAACATTTATCAAGTGATATATATTACCAAAAAATAGAACCAAAGGTCTTCAGAGTGGGAGACACCAAGCAAAGTTGAGGGCAAGAGGGATTAAATAAAAATGTACTAAAGGTTATGAAATACTCCTCCCAGCCTTTCCCCCTACTTGGCTCCCAGAATATTGGCAGCTTTGCTTACATTATACTCTCTAAATGGGTATAATGTGGTAAGGATGATGAACCCAAGAGAAATAAAACACAGAAGACACTGACTTCAGGCCTTATCCAATCAAACAGCCCAGCCAGATAACCCTCAGTGAGGCTCAGAGCTGGCAGGCCTCACACATGCACAGAGTCCACTGTCAGCTCTTTGGAGACTGTTCTGAAGTGTAAGCAGCCCCTGAAGATCGTAAGACGTCTCCTGAGACCTTCTAACTATATAGACCTAAACAAACAGATTAAAGCAACTTGAATGAAGTGGAGATAATACAGGGAGATGAGAACTTATAAAAATCATTAATTATATCCTTAAAGAGGTAAGCGATAATATTACAGCCATGAACAAAAACTGTAAGATATAAAAAGGAAAACAGAATTAGAAACAAGTCTTTGAAATAAAAACATGATAGGAAAAAATGAAAACCTCAGTAGAAGGGTTGATAATATTGAAATATTTCAGAAACTAGAACAAATATAGAGGGTTGGAAGAGAAAAAAAAAAGAGGATCAGTCCAGGATGCCCTCTATCCAAATAATAGGATTTCCAGAAAGAACAGAAAAATAGTGAAGGAAAAACAGTCGTCAAAGAAATAATTAGAGTCAGCCCTGATGGCTTAGTGGTTAAGTTTGGCACACTCCACTTCGGTAGCCTGGGTTTGGTTCCCGGGCGTGGAACCACACCACTTATCTGTCATTTGCCATGCTGTGGTGGTGGCTCACATAGAAGAACTAGAAGGACTTACAACTAGAATATACAACTATGTACTAGGGCTTTGGGGAGGGGTAAAAAAAAGAGAGAGGAAGATTGGCAAGAGATGTTAGCTCAGGGCAAATCCCCCCACCACCAAAAAAAAGAGAAATTAAATCTCTCAGAACTGAAAGACATGAGTTTCCAGATTAAAAGGGCCCAACAAGTGGCTGATTCAATGGATGAAAATAGACCTACACTGTGGCAAATTACTGTGATAGTTTAGAACATTGGGAACAAAGAGAAGATCCTAAAACCATCTAGAAGGAGTGAAAAGATGGTTACATACAAAGGATCAGGAATAAGAATGGCATCAAACTTTTTAAGTATAACACTGAAAATTAGAAGACAATGAACAGTGCCTTACTTAAATGCTGAGGAAAAATTATTTTCAACCTAGAATTCTATACCCAGCCAAGCTGTGAACAGTGTGAGGAGAGAATAACAACATTTTAAAACATGCAAAGCTTCAACAAGTATACTTCCTATGCAGCCTTCCTCAGGACGCTATTGGAGGAAAAGCACCACACACACAAATGAAGGAGTAAATCAAGAAAGAAGACATGGGATCCAGGAAACAGGATCCAACTCAGGAAAGAGATAAAGGGAATCCCCAAGGTAGTAGTGAAGGGAGATCCCTGGAGGACAGTTGTGCAGCAGGGACAGATTGGAGCAGATCAGAAGCCTCCTAAAGAGCTGCCTCTAAGAAGGTAGAATAGACAGGATATATGATGTGTTTGAAAGCCTTGAGAGAGGGCCAGCCCCGTGGCTTGGTGGTTAAGTGCACGCACTCCGCTGCTGGTGGCCCGGGTTCGGATCCCGGGCGCGTCTGGCACGCCCCTTGTCCAGCCATGCTAGGGCCGCGTCCCACGTGCAGCAACTGGAAGAATGTGCAACTATGACATACAACTATGTACTGGGGCTTTGGGGAAAAAAAAGGAGGAGGACTGGCAATAGATGTTAGCTCAGAGCCGGTCTTCCTCAGCAAAAAGAGGAGGATTAGCATGGATGTTAGCTCAGGGCTGATCTTCCTCACAAAAAAAAAAAAAAGAAAGCCTTGAGAGGGAAATTCAGACAATTGGGAGAGAGTTTGGGGATGACTTACTGATAACCATGTAGCAAACTAAGCAAAATAATAATAATAATTCTTATTCTAGGGAAAACATAAAGTTGTAAGTAACCATAGTAAACCACATGGCTTAGCTGTCAATAGCATTTCCGAATTCTAATAAGGTAAATACTGAATAATTAATTTTATTGCATATATTGGGAATGTGGGGAGATGGGAAGGGTGTCTGTATGGCATAGGAGGGGGGGGTAGGATGAAAGAGTTAAATCCTTAACTTTCTCTTGTGTGGGAAGTCAACAGAAAACACCTAAAACTTAAAAATCAAGAAGTAGTGTGTTATTTGGAGATGAGAAGGTAAGTACCAAAATAAACAGCTAAAAAATTAATGGTAGTTGTCTCTGGAAGGTGGGATTTAGGACTAGGATGGGGGAACTGTTTCTTTTCATAATAAATCTTGCAGAAGTGTTTGCCTCTTGAATCATCTATTACTTTGATTAAAAATAAAACTAAATAAAACGAAATTTAAAAAGTCATGTGTGGCAGGACTTGGGGTTCCCAGGGAAGTGTGCTGGAGGTGAAGCTAGAGAGATGGACAAGAGCCGCATTATGACAGGCTTTGGAATGCCAGCTGCTGAAGTGTTTAGATTTTGTTCTCTAAGCGCAGTGCAAAGCTCATAAAGGCTCTTGAGCAGGGGAGGGACAGGTTCAGACTTGTGCTTGGGGAAGATAACTCAGTGCATCTGAGCTGAAAGAGACCCTAGAGATTACCCAGTAAGTCAGACTTACTCCCAGTACAGACGGGGAGACTGCTGTGTGGTGGAGGGAAGCCCTGAAGCCCCAGCCAGCGGGGTTCTGACCCTTCGAAGCTCTAGCCAACTCCTCCCTCCCTCAACAACTGCCACCAACACCCTGAAGGGACTGGGGGACCAGGTTAACTCTATATCCTCCAGCTCCTGCCTCGTTTTGGCCCAGTCTACTTCCCAGTTAACACATGGCCCCCATCAGTCTATGTGGCTAAACGTTTCTAAGTCTTACTGGTGAATCTGAACCAGTTCAATAGTTAATACCCTAACTATGAAGTTCAAAACTCAGTAGGATCAGATTTTAACACAGTACTTCACATTTACTGAGACCTTACTCTGTGCCAGGCGCTGTGCTGACTACTTAATAGAAAGCATCTCAGAATTCTCACAGCCACCCTGTGAGGTGAGTGATTTCGCCCTATTTTACAAACAAGGAAACCGAGGCTCAAAGAAGATAAGAAAGTTGCCCACAGTTATATAGCTAATGAGTGGTAGAGCTGAGATTTTACACAGCAATCTGTCTGCTTCTAAAGCTCACACTCCAAACCATTCTATTTCCATGCTCCTTCAAGGTGAAGCATAGTTGGGTGGACCACAAGATAGGGCCTCCGGAAACATTGGGGAAACGTATGGCCCAGAACCTGGGACTGATTCCTTCTCCCACTCCCCCAGGCTTACCTGCGATCCATCGACGTAAAGATCCTGCAGCAGCTGGTGACCTTGAACGAGGGCATCGAGGCGGTGCGCTGGCTGTTGGAGGAGCGAGGCACGTTGACCAGCCACTGCAGCAGCCTCACCAGCAGCCAATATAGCCTGACAGGCGGGAGCCCGGGCCGCTCAAGGCGAGGCAGCTGGGACAGCCTGCCAGACACCGGCTCCACCGACCGGCTAGATAGTGTCTCCATCGGCAGCTTCCTGGACACGGTGGCCCCCAGTGAGCTGGATGAACAGGGCCCCCCTGGGGCTCCCCGTGCTGAGATGGACCGGGCAAAGGTTATACCTGGGGAGAGGGCTAGGACTGAGGTGGATCTGACAGCCACCAGACTAGGGAACTTGAGGGCTGTGTGGAAGCCCCCAGGGGAGGGGCTCCAGGGTGTACCTCCTGAGCTACCAGAGGATGAGAGTGCCAAGCTGGGCTTTGAGGCCCACTGGTACTGGGGGCAGTGCCAGGATGATGTGACCTTCCTGTAACAACTTTTCCATCCTTTTGTATTCCTATGGCTCTTTCATCACTAGGTCCTGGTCTCCATCAAAATTTATTCTCCCTCAATCTGGGACTGGGAAGAGGCTGCATTGAAATCAGTTACCATGGACACCGGGCCTCACCATCCCTCTGGTTCCTGGGGAGGCTCTGTCTTTATCCTTCAATTATTGGGTCTCTAGAGCTGTTTCCATAGATACATTGACTCTAGAGGCTTGACCTGTGGCTTCTGATATGATGGTATCTCTTCCCCTTCCCCCCGCAACTAGGTAAGGATTTCAGGGATTTCGGACCCCTAGGAGATGAAGAGGTGGGGTTGTAATTACCTTACCCAATGTCTAGGAGTCTTGGCCCCTCTTGGCCAAGATGGAGGATTGCGGAGGGACGTGGACATTCAGGGCCAACCCTCCATGGATTGGCCCTCCCAGAAGCCTTTGGGGTTGGTAGAACTATCCCTTCCTGTCTGGTGGATGATGTCATTTCCTGCCGGAATGGATTGGCCTTTCCTCTGTACTAGTCTTTTAGTGGTGATAAGTCAATATAGGGGTGTCTCAGCCGCTGCTGCTAAGTGAAACCATGTATGTTTATTCTCCATACCATTACTTCTTGTGAGTGGAAACATACCACTCCTCCTGGCAGGAGAGTTTTACTCTCAGATGTTTGTCAGAAACATTCTTACTTTTTAAACAGAGTGTTCTCGTTTTATCCTAGGGGGTCTCACTTCCTCTGTGGCCACCTCCCTGTCTGGTGCCAGCACTCCTATATCTGTGCTTGCAGGGAGGGGAACTGGCAGGGGCCCACCTATTGCTCTCAAAAGTCAGTTTGTCCATCTTACCCTGCCCCTGGGTTGCCCACATTCTTGTATTCTAGCTCCAGATCTGTCTGCCAGGAGGTTCAGCCTTTGTGTCTCCACCTTCTCCATTTCCACTGGGCCTCAGGCCTTTTATATGCAGATGAGTTCCCTAGCCTTCTCTCCTCATTGCTGATGGGAGCCAGAGGGAGGAGAAGCTGGAGGTCTCTCTCAGAGCTCTGAAGGTGTACCAGAATCTCCAAAGGGGGGAGGTGTCTTCTTTGATCCTGTGGTTCCCCTTCCCCCACCCTGCCCCAGACCTCCCACCCTTTGGTCACAAGGATGCCTGCTGGAGGCTGGGACACAAGGAATCCCTTTGTCTGGGATACAGTGGAGGGGCGTGGCAGGGAAAGACAGAGGCTCTTTGGTCCTAGGGCCCATATCCTGGGAGTGGGGAGAGATGAGGGAAAGGCGGCTTTCCTTCCTCCCTTATAGCAAGCCCTAGACTCCTGGGACCTGAGGAGGGAGCAGGGGACTGGTTCTGGTCCTGGGTTTCAGGGCCCTAGTGAATTATATCAAAGAAGGAATTCAGGGAATCTGCCAACCTGGGGCACAGGGAGGGAACAGGCCCAGAGATGGGGGAGGACGAGGGCTGTGGCTGATGTCAGAGAATGAATGCTTGGAGATTAACCTGTTGAACCCCAGGTAACTGCCCATTTGTTGGTCCCTGTCTTTCCTGGGCCCTGGAACTAGACTACTGGAAGGCAAAAAGGAGAGAAAAGGATGTCAGGTGATCCTTGCCTGTTTGCTGTGCCCTCCTGAGCTGGAGGAGTCTTCCCCAAATGCTAGAGTAACTCCTACAGTTTCTCTACTTTTCATTCTATGCTGAGGAAGGGAAGGAGGCCAAGTTGATCATCCCCACTTCCCCGAAACTCCTCAAGTCTTGTTCTACAACCCCCACCCCAATCCTTTTGGGGCAATACGTTCAGTCTGTGGCTCTCCCCTAAAGACCGTCTCTCCTCCTCTCCTCCCCTGAAAGTGACTGAAATCTCTAAAGTATATTCTTAGCCTCTCCTCTACTGCCCACCAGCTGTCTCCTTACCACCCCTTCTGGTCTTGGGGCTCCTGACTTCCCCTTGGGCTGGGAATTCAAATACACTTTTCCTACTCTATTGCCATTTTGTAGTGTGCCCTTGGGTAAACTACTCTCTCACTTGGAAGTCTTGTCTTCCTTTTGAAGCTTATTTGTTCATTTAGTCTACAAACTTCTGAACTGAAGAGGTTGCCCGCCCTCTGGTGGCTGTTATGTACCATTGCCAGGGGTAGCTGGATGGAACCTCCAGGCTCAGATACCGGTATGGCCTTACAGAAGACCAACCCCCTCAGTGCACAGACAGGCTAGAGAGACGGCCTAGAGAGGGCACAGACTTGCCCAGTGCCACCCATTGTAAATCCGTGGCAGTGCCCAGGTCAGAGAAGGCAGATCTCTTGCCTGCCTGCCCACAATGCCATCACTTGGCCAGACTGTTCCCCCACCCCACCCAGTCAATACCACCTAAGCCTGAAAGGACCAAAAGCAGTTTTCTTCCTGTTTTAGTATTTGGGTTCTCACCCCACTCTAGAGAGGCAGCTCTATGTTTAGAGAAAGAGCTCTAGGCTCTGAGGAAATAGAACCTGGGACCTGGATTGGGTAAGGATGCACGAATCTGGACTGCAGATACAAGGAAAATCAATCCTGGACCAACTGTTTTTCTGGAGAGAGCCAGTAGGCCCAGACGTCGTGGGGGCAGAGAGTTCAGCATTTCAGAGCTGGAGGTTAGAAGTGGGGTGGAGATGGGGAGCCTTGAGATTAGGAAATCCAGATGGGTCCTGTGGGGTTGGGGAGCCCCCCAGGTCCAGGGTTGACAGCACGATTGCATAGGCACAATTGGGTGATGGCAGAGATGAGACTGTTCATGGCAGTTGCGAAAACCTCGCCTGGGAGGGTAAGGGGTGGTGCAGGTCAGGGTGAGTCCATCCAGGAGACGTGAGACCATGTGAATGGGCAAGTGTAAGGGCGTGCATTTAGGGTGGGGGCAGTGAGGTGGAGCACTGGACTGACTGGAAGCTCAGTGGCAGCTGAGGTGAGAAATGCTTGGGGCTTGTAGTGGACACAAGCTCACTGTGTGCGTGGTGCAGGCGCGTACTGGGCGTCCAGTGACACCTGTGGAATGAATGGAGGAATGAATGTGTGTAAACCACAAGGAGATGTGACTTATTTTTTTTTAAAGTGGGTTGGGCCGGCCCTGTGGCTTAGCGGTTAAGTGCGCGCGCTCCACTGCTGGCGGCCTGGGTTCGGATCCCAGGCGCGCGCTGACGCACCGCTTCTCTGGCCATGCTGAGGCCGCGTCCCACATATAGCAACTAGAAGGATGTGCAGCTATGACATACAACTATCTACTGGGGCTTTGGGGGGAAAAAATAAATAAATTTTTTAAAAAATGGGTAATTAGGTAGTTACAGGAATTTAAAACATTCTTCTGTTTAATTCTTAGCAACCCTATAAACAATGCATTATTAACAATGTATTGTTGCTTAGACGTTTGCTTAAGGTCAGATAGATAATAAATAAACTATATGAACCTAGGTCAGTCTGACTGCAGGGGCTTCCAGGAAATCTCTGATTCCCCACTCCCCACTCTCACAGACCTTATTCTCCTTGGAGAACAGGTTATGCTGCCCAGCATAGAGGCAGTGTACTAGTTTCCTGTTGCTGCTGTAACAAATTACCACAAACTTCATGGCTTAAAACAATACAAATTTATTACCTTACAGTCCTGGAGGTCACAAGTCTGAAATCAGTTTCACTGGGCTAAATTACAGTCAGGGTGTTGACAGGCATATGTTCCTTCTGGGGACTCTAGGGGGGAATCAATTTCTTTGCCTTTTCCAGCTTCTGGAAGCTGCTTGCATTTCTTTGTTCATGCCCCCTTCCTCCATCTTCAAAGCCAGCAGCATAGTATCTTCTCTCCTCTCTGACCTCTGCTTCCATCCTTCCGTCTTCTCTTTCGAATTCTTCTGTCTCCTCTTATGAGGATTACATTGTGATTACATATCCTTGTGATTACTTTGGACCTACTGGGATAATCCAGGATCATCTTTCCATGACAAGATCCTTAATTTAACCATATCTTCAAAGTCTCTTTTGTCGTATAAGGTAAAACATACAAGGGTTCTGGGGATTAGGACATGAGCATCTTTGGAGGAAGGGCCATTATTCGGCCTACCACAGGAGGAGATGGAGGGTGGGCAGAATGCACTCAGGCCCAGAATGAACCTCTATGCTTGGTCCAGCCTCCCTCCACCTGGCGTGAAGGGTGGTGCCAATGGGGTGGTGGCCAGGTCCAGGCCCCATGTCTGGGGAATAGCAAGTGCCTCCTGCATCATCACTACCAGGGGGAGCTGAGAATGCATGTCGGACTTGGGAGAAACTCTCAGTTTAGGGAACTTTTCGCTCCTGAGACTCTCCTGGTGAAGGGTTCCAGTGGGCTCTGTCTTCAACACTGCCTCCTCTCCAGAACCATTCTGTGCTTCTCAAGGCAGAAGATAATTACCAGAAAATTAGCCTGGGCTCTCTCTGGAAAGGGTAGATTAGTTGTCTCCTTTTTAAATTATTATTTTTTTAATTCCTTAATGGTTAAAACATGCTGCTCAGGGCATGGTGAATTCTCATCATCAGTTAATCCTAGGCCCCTTGCTTTATTTTCTTTTGATCCCTGACGCCTATTCTCATTCCTCTCCCTGACCCAGACATGTGTTCAGTATGTGTTTGAATATGTATGTATCTTTAAAAATATATATAATTATATGCTTATGTGTTTTAATATATATAAATGGTATACTTTTACAATAAGCTAACTTCTATAATGAATTGCCCCATATTTCAGTGATTTAACACAATGAAGCTTTATTTTTCACTTACACAGGAGCACAGGTGTTCCTGGTTGGACAGCTCTCCTCCACTGCCTGTTTCAGGTCCCAGGCTCCTTCCATTTTCAGGTGGTGATAGCCTGATCCTGCATGATAGAGTTCCCCATCAACTTTTCACCACATTGTCTTACCATCCATTAATGACCATTTTATGTATTGGTATTTCACCAGGGATTACGAAATGATGATTTTCTAATGCTATTATTTCTTCTTCTTTTATTCTCATTCTGTACAGAAAAACTTTTTCACATCCTCCAGGACTGTTTGGTTTCCCTGAAATAAGGTTCATGCCAGAATGGCAAGAGAAACGCTTAAATCTCTTCCCTTATTTATCTCTTTCAA